GCAACGATGAAACTGAAATTTTTCCAATGTGAGACAAATAAAATATCTTAATATATCTTATCTTATCTTAAAAGCTCATAGCTTTCACCAGGTGCTGCATACCATCGCGGTAAGAAAACACAACATTCACTCACGCTGGTCATAAAGTATTCTGCCGATTGTTTTGCGAAGATTCTGTGGTGATGGTGGTGCCCAGGAAACGGAATGATTTGGTGCTCTTCCTTCCACAGTCGCAGAGTCAACCAAATACAAACATATTTTCGTTGTGGGACGTTGTCATCACACGTCGTTATCGTAATTAGATGGGGAATTGTGGAAAGCTCAACTTCTGTAAGAGATGTTGCTGAATGCAGCCATTTCAGAGACATATTTCACGTAAGCAGTGTCAGAACGTAAAGCGGAAATGAGAAACATCATCAGGAAGTAAGCCGAAAATTCCCCAAAAACTTTTCTATAGTTGGTCTAATAGTGTAATAAGGGTTTGGTATTGTAATAAATGTGCATACATAAACACACTCACACAATTACACACATTAACCCACACACAACACACATATACATACATACATTAACACACACACACACACACACATACTAAAGATAGATAGATATTGATCCCTTAGGAGAAATTCAGATTTCCAGTAGCAGCAAAAACACATAAATAGATTATTCTAAAAGTAGCTAACAATTGTAGTAAAGTGCAACAGCACTTTAGGATGCAGGAGGGTCTGTTTGACAGTTAATGTCTAACAAGAAGGACTGTGGTGATGATCCAAGACATTTTGACATTCTACAACATGTATGGACATTTATCAACATTCATGGACATTGGTCTCACCATATGGACCAATACATATGTGTATTTTTGTGTGTCTAACTGTTGATTCTCTGATCTATGTTGGTGATTTCAATCACACACACACATTATCGTTGCCACATAGAGTATGATCATGTGATCCTAGGTGAATGTTTTTCTTCCATATTAATGTAGACAGGGATTATTCAGTGTAGGAATGCTTCTATATATTGGTGCCCATTGGGGGACTATTTCTATAGTGTTGTTTTGGGGTTGAATAGACAAAGAATGTATTTTGTTTTTACATAATGCTAATGAGAGGGGCTTGGGCTTTAAAAGCAGGACCACGTTTGTTAACCCTGTTTGGTTGTTGATGATTGATTGCAGTCAAGGCAACCAAGCATGGTAAGACCATGTACATATTGCTCTGTTCACTATTTTGGGGAATATTTGGAAAAATGTACTACTAAAATGTATTTTTGACTAAGCCATTGTGTTTTTGGAAAGAGGCCACAACACACACTATGAAAAAAAATATATAAACTCACACAAACACATGAACACACAGGCACCTATACACACAAACGTGCACGCACTTAATCACATTAACACACACACACCAAAACTCATTCCATGAGTAACGTTCTGTGGGGTGCGTTAAAATGTGCTACAAAATGATATTATTTTGTGTAATCAATTCATTTTAATTACCATGTTAAAGTCCTGGTTCTGAAATAAAAACATACATTCAGACATCTAGTGTCGCTCTGCCTTCTCACCGAGAGCTCCTATTGGCCTGCCAGCCGCCTCTGTTGCCGTGGTGATGAGCGGAGCATCTGTTGGAGGCTGCGGTGCTGAGGTGTGACTGAAGCATATTTTTAGCTCTGTGCTAAAAAGGTGTTCAAAGACGTGACAATAACAGGCTTTGTCCTGTGAGTTTGTACAGGGCTGAGGTGATGCTACATAAGGAAGTGGTCGACAAGGAATGGAGAGATGAAGATTGTCGCCCTACTAATACGTATTTGTATTAGTGTTCTTGTGTTCTTCACAGATTCATGATTTGTAAAAAAGGTGGATTCAAGTGCTCATTCTGGATTATGACAATTAGCACTGAATGTTTTCAAAAAGTTAGCATTCCTCCAGTGGATTTTTGCCTGATCCGCTTGGTTCGGACCATGAAATCCCTCTGTTCCAGTCTGGACCAGTGTAAAACCGTGAACACTGTACTGCAGCAACATCTCAGGTAGAAAAAAAACGGCAAAATAACAATTGTAAAGCACAACTGTTTCAGAGCTACTTAGGACTTGCTGCCGTTTCCAGCATAAACTAGACACTTCTTCAATTAAATATATTTTGTATTCCAATTGGGCCCCTTTATTTCTTTCAGTGGACCCTACTTAAAAAAAAAATATGTCAAATAGTAAATGTTGAAACTTTCTAGCTGGAAAATTGACCAATAGAAACATAGTTCTTTTCACTGTTTACTGACTTAGAATAGGTGCAAGTACCAACCCTTGTGACACAAAGTGATACCGATCCTATACATAGCATTCAAACCAGTCAAGGGCTGTTCCTCTGAGACCTATATCACATTCTAGCCTCTGCAGTAGAATGTTGTGGTCTATTGTGTCAAATGCAGCGCTGAGGTCCAGTAGGACTAGCAGTGACACTTGTCCATTATCAGCATCAGCAGCAATTTGTGACTTTGACTAGTGCTGCTTCAGTGCTATGATGAGCTGAAATTTTTCAAATATATAATTTTCTTACAGGTAGCAGCATAGTTGTTGAGCAATAAGCTTTTCAAGGATTTTAGATATAAAAGTGAGGTTTGAGACGCTTCTTATAACTTCCAATTAGAGTCTGGACCATTCTTTGCAGATAATCTCTAATTCAGTCAGGTGTGATGGGTTCCAAGCTTTAAATTGCACCTCAAATGGTCAATAATATTCAGGTCTGGGGACTGAGATGGCCATTCCAGAACGTTGTACTTGTTCCTCTGCATGAATCCCTTGCATTTTGAGCGTTTAGGATTGTTGTCCTGTTGAAAAATCCAGCTCTGGCGCAACTTCCACTTTGTCATGGATTCCTGGATATTGTTCTCCAGAATCTGCTGATATTGAGTAGAATTCAAGTGTCTCCCAACTTTAACAAGACTCCACCACCAAATTCAACTTTAGCATACCATTGTACGTAAACATGCTCACAAGGTTAAATCCTCCAGCTCCGGCAGTCCTGACCAAGCCGAGCATCAGCATCTGGAGATGGGTTCCCAGGCGCTGAACTACGGCGACCACTGCTCCTGACGTAAGCCTTCGCGGCATCAGGATGGGTCAAATGCAGAGGATTGAATTGCCCTACGGGGATTAATAAAGTGCACATTTACCTTTAGTTCCTAGTTCCAACGGACGCTGAAAACAGAAACATAAAATTCCTATCAACCCTCCAAACCAACTTTTTTTTCTGTCAGCTCAGATAAGGCTGTGAGTCAGCGCCTTCAAACTCATCTGCCTTGTTGGCGCAAGAGAGCACATTTCCCATGATCACAGACTGTAGCGCCGATCTGGAGCCTCCATGGTCTGAAGCACCTCTATGGGGATCTCATGTCTATCCCTGGGAGGCACCACTATGCACCACAGTGTCAGAAGGGGGGATGAATGTGGGGCACATTTTATGCGTTTGAGTGATCCACTCTGACGCATTCGCACTCGTACAAATGAGGTGAGGCACATACTTTATAGTAAAGAACTGCTCACTGGAGCAATCTCAAAGCAGTGCCTACTGCTACAGCGATCTGTGAAAATGAATACACGTCACATTTATTCTGTCTCAATTGTTCATTATGTGTGTTTGTACTTCAAACTTATACCAAACTATAAATCCATCCATCCATCCATTTTCTTTCGCTTCATCCATTGCCGGGTCGCGGGGGCAGCAGTCTAAGCAGAGACGCCCAGACTTCCCTATCCACACACACTTCCTCCAGCTCGTCCGGGGGACCCCAAGGCGTTCCCAGGCCAGCCGAGAGACATTGTCCCTCCAGCATGTCCTGGGTCTTCCCGGTGGGATGTACCAGGAACACGTCTGCAGGGAGCCGTCTAGGAGGCATCCTGAACAGATGCCCGAGTCACCTCTCGACGTGGAGAAGCAGCGGCTCTACTCCGAGCTCCTCCCTATCTCTAAGGGACCGCCCAGCCACTCTGTGAAGGAAGCTCATTTCGACCGCTTGCTAAGATAAGATAAGAATTCCTTTATTCGTCCCACAGTGGGGAAATTTCGATGTTGCATCGCACATATAGGGCGGCACGGTGGCTGAGTGGATAGCACTCTCGCCTCTCAGCAAGAAGGTCCTGGGTTCGAATCCCGGTCGGACCAGGGCCTTTCTGAGTGGAGTTTGCATGTTCTGCCCGTGTCTGCGTAGGTTTCCTCCGGGTACTCCGGTTTCCCCTACCACTAAAAATATGTCCAATAGTTCTAGCATGCGCCTCCTGTACCGGCGACCCTGCTCCCATCTCTGTGTGGAGTCAGAGATAAATGCCCAAAATTAACAATTGTAAACCGCTTTGAGACTCAGATCTGTAGTGAAAAGGCGGTATATAAATAAAGATTACTTACTTACTTACTTACATATAGGACAGTATAGGACACTTACTTACATATAGGACAGTAGTAAGAGCACACAGGGAGCACACACAATATATACACTATATACAAATAAGTAGTAGCTATGTTTCTTAGCTAACATAACTAGCTGTAGATGCTAAAAATGCTTCAATACCAGTCAAAAAAAAATATATGTAGTAGTGCAGTTATATACTGTACAGTTAAATAGTGCAGGATAAAAAGTATATAAGTAAAGTGACATGAGGTAAAGTGACATTGTTCTGTGACATTCTGAAGCAGCAGTATTGCACATTGCACATGATTTAAGAATTTACTTAGTTACAGATGAATGAAATTTACAGGCTCAGCAGTTCTTATTGTACAGTCTGACAGCAGCAGGAAGGAAAGACCTACGGAACCTCTCCTTCACACAGTGAGGGTGAATTAGTCTGTCACTGAAGCTGCTCTCCAGAGCAGAGAGAGTGTCCTGCAGGGGGTGACAGTCATGGTCCAGCATAGATGTTAGTTTGCTCAGGACCCTCCTGTCTCCCACCTGCTGCACTGTGACAGGAGTCACAGTGCTTTCGGTCATTACCCAAAGCTCATGACCATAGGTGAGGGAGGGAACGAAGATTGACCGGTAAATCGAGAGCTTTGCCTTTCGGCTCAGCTCCCTCTTTACCACAACGGTCCGATACAGCGACCGCATCACTGCGCACGCTGCACCGATCCGCCTGTCAATCTCCCGCTCCATCCTTCCCTCACTCGTGAACAAGACCCCGAGATACTTGAACTCCTCCACTTGAGCAGTTCAAGTATGCAGGTCCTGGCTCGTTGGAGTCAACAGGACAACTTTGTCCGCAAATAGCAGGGATGAAATCCTGTGACCCCCAAACCGGACCCCCTCTGGCCAAACCCTAACCTCTGGCTGCGCCTAGAAATTCTGTCCATAAAGACGGTGAACAGAACCGGTGACAAAGGGCAGCCTTGGTCAACATGCACCGGGAACAGGCCTGACTTACTGCCGGCAATGCAAACACAGCTCTGGCTCCGGTCATACAGGGACCCGACGGCCCTCAGCAGAGGACCCCGGACCCCGTACTCCCGGAGAACCCCCCAAATGACACCCCGGGGAACACGGTCGAACGCCTTCGACTCCAAATTGAGGAGAACCTTGTAGTATTCCTTCCACCGCCCGACAATATCCCCAGTTGAGGTCAGCAGCTCTCCAACTATAAATTGATATGGTAATTATTGTAACAGGCAAAACAATTATTACTAGACTCTATCTGGAAATAACTATTTCTAAGATATAAAATCAGTGTCTTTTATGCGTCACAAATGGCTCCTGTCAAGTCTCTATGCACACCTTCTAATTTGCATCAGAAGGTGCATATATGGGAAGAAATGCAATACTATTTAAAACCGTAACTACCTCGCAGCCATGGAGGCTGCCGTCTGTAACAGTGTGTGTGCATTTGTGTCCTGCAGCCATTGTGCTCCCTGACGCACCGGAGAAGTGCATGCTGGGAGAGGAGGGGGGCAGTGAGGAGGAGCTGATGTACGAGGACTACCGCAGTTCCTCGCACCGCTTCGGTGTGCCAGGAGGGGGTGGAGGAGAGCAACTGGCCATCAACGAGGTGAGTGCAAACAAACTGGATGCGTAACGGTGTGAATATTGTATACAAAGCATACCTGGTTTGGATCAGGTCTTAACCAAGTCCAGATATTGAGTTTGGCACCAGAGGCCCTGTCTGCGTTTGACTGGCAATACCCTTTCTCATCATATTTCATTATAACCAATATCTCCTTAAAATTGAAAATTAAATTATTTAATACACATTTTTTTAGGAAATGCAATATTATCTTGTGATAACAAGAAAGCCTTAAAATCTGTGTGCATGAATAGTTGGTAGTGGTCGGAGGGGTTGATAGCACATACTGGTTGCCTCGCTTCTGTCAGTTTAGTAGTAGTCTAAAATCTATAATAGTTTATAGATCGAAAGATACTTTATTGATCTTCAGTAGGAGAAATTCAGGTGTCCAGTGGCAGCAGAATCACATGCATTTATACAGACCAAACCAATAAATAGAGCATTATAAATATAGCTAAAAATAGTATTGTTAGCTATTTGTGGCGCCAGCCCCCGCTGTGCAGCTAGTCACTTCGGCTCTCTCCTCTTTCCAACCTTTCGTCTATTTATATGGAGATACGCAGGAGATGCAGAGGCTCCAGAGGTGGCCGCAAGAAGAAGAGGAGACCGTACCTCCCCTTCATCATCATGGGAAACCTACGGTCCATCTTCAACAAGACAGAGGAGCTTTCTGCACTGGCCCGCCATCAGAGGGAATACAGACAATGTGGACTATGTGTTTCACTGTGGTTCTGTGCGTGTACATCCCTCCATCAGCGGACGCTGCTGCTGCATGTGAGCGCATCCACAGCACAATGACCCAGATCCGCAGCCCCCGTGCTCTAATATTGATCACGAGGGAGAATGAAACTCTGTATGATAATGTACGAGACGCATACACGCATTTATGGTTCTGGCTGCGTGTCTATGGTTCTGTCCACGCGCGTCTCTGGTTCTGGTCATTGCAGAGGTTGTGAATCCTGTTCAGGAATGGCATAATTCCTTTCCAAAAACGTCTCAATCACTTTCACTTCTCACTCGCCCCAATGCTCCTCGCTCCCTCACGTTTGTTGGTCACGTCCAATTTAGAGATAAAGATAAGATAAGATAGACTTTATTGATCCCACACAGGAGAAATGTACTTGTCACATTTGGCATGGAGAGAATCACATTTTAAAGGCAAAACATATTGTCTGTTCAGGACATATTATGTAACAATAATATATGTATTATGGCAATTAAAGAAAAAGTGGCAATAGTAGTTTAGGTTTTTTAGTACTAGTGCAAGTAACTTGAAGTCACTTATTGTACAGTCTGACAGCAGCGGGGATAAAGCCTCTGCGGTAGCGCTCCTTCTCGTACTGAGGGTGCCTCAGTCTTCTTTGTAAATTTCTCCTGTGTGAGATTAAAAAAGTACATCTTATCTTATCTTATCTTCCACTGAAGGAGCTCCTCTACAGTCCTGTGCAGTGGGTGGTAGGTATTGTTCATGATGGAGGTGGCTTTGGCTAGCACCCTCCTGTCCCTCACCTCCTCCACAGAGTCCAGGGGGCCGCCCAGAGCGGAGCTGGCCCTCCTGACCAGCTTGTTGAGTCTACTCCTGTCCCGCTCTGTGCTGCCTGGTGCCCTGCACACGGCAGCGTGGTGTATGGCAGAAGCTACCACAGAGTCATAAAAGGTCCTGAGCACAGGCCTGCTCACTCCGAAGGACCTCAGCCTCCTCAGAAGGTGGAGGTGACTTTAGCCCTTCTTGTACAGGGCGTTGGTGTTATGGGACCAGTCTAGTTTTTATTGTAAATGTGACTGATAAATGTAGAAGTGTTGACCAGGTCTGATCCTGGACTCTGGTCCAGATCTCGTCCGCATGATTTCTCAAGATTTGTATTTGTCAAACCAAGTGAATGGTTTGAAATTATATTTCTCTCATCCTTGATTGTGGAGCTGGGGGTGGGGGAAGAGGGGTGGGAGGGAGGGCAGGGAGTTCAGCTTCCTGATGGCCTTGTGAATGAAACTGTTTTTAAGTCGACTGGAACTGTTCCGTAAATTCAGCAGTCTCCTCCCTGAAGGCATTACCCTGAAGAGCCTGTGTGATGGGTGCGTAGGGTCCCTGGTGATTCTGACGGCTTTGCGGGTGAGACGGGTGGAGTACATGTCCTTAATGGTGGGGAGAGGGGCTCCACAGATCTTCTCTGCTGCTCTCACGATGCGCTGGAGGCTCCTTCGGCAGGAGGCAGTGCTGGTGCCGTGCCACCCAGTGATGGAGCTGGTCAGGCTGCTCTCTACAGTCCCTCTGTAGAAGTTGCACACAACGGAGGCCGGGACTCCTGTAGCGCCTCTTGTGACGCCTCCACTGTGCTCCACTGTACTCCTCCCCCTCATCTCTTCACTTTGTCTGAATATAATCTGTGAGAAAACAGGAAGCATCTTTAACTTTCTCTTAAAGGAGCTATACCCGTTTCTGCAAGGTTTGAATGTTTAGCACCGCCCCTCAACTTGCTCACAGGTCTCTCATTTCCCCTACGCTCTCATTCTACGGAGCCATCTAGTTTTATACCTGAAATGGGATAAAAACACTAACCAGGTTGTTTAGAAAGCTTGTCAGTGTCTTTACTTTCTGCGGAAACTTAGATAATTTACCTGCTTAACTTTTATTGCTGCATCATTGAACGTTTGCTTGTTGGTTCTGTGACTGTGTGGTTTGGTAACATCACAGCCAAAGAAAGGAGAGGTGCTCCGCTCTTCAAAGAGGACTGTGAGCTGTGAGCTGCCTGTTTTGAAGCTAGACTTAAACCGAGCTCTGAGAATAATCAATGACTCTTCTGGCCACCCTGGAAAAGCCATGTTCCAGCTTCTTCCCTCTGGCAGAAGATATTGTTAGTTGAGATGGAGGACATCTCGTTTTGCACCTTTTTTCCACACTATGAACAGAGCACTTTAATAATCTTGCACTTGTATTTTGCTTTCAAAGTCTCAATTGTGTTTATTTTATTCCTGTACTTTTAATCTTGTTTTATTTCTGTACTTGTCTTGTGCACACTGGGGAAAATATGTTCCAATGTAGTTTTACTGAAAATGACAAATAAAATGAATCTGATTTTGTTAGCTTAGAAGTAGCTTAGCCGTGGCACCAACTCGAAACCACTCCCCTCGCCTCTCCACCAAACCAAACATCCAGCAAATTTTTTTCTTAGTCACAGCAGGGAGAGTGGGTGACAAACGCGATATTGGCATTTTCTGTTGAGTCATTTTAGGTTTTAGAAAATCCAATAACTCAGGTGATCGCACTCGCGAGAAACAGGAAGAGGGTGAAGGGGGTAAACGCATCCCTTTGGTTCGTTGGTTGATTGGTTTATTTTTATCGGTCCACTCCAAAATATTTTTTTATTAATTTCCGGAGACTATAGGCATCTGGTCAATTCCATTACTATTTGAAAACACATGAGCACTTGGGCGGCACGGTGGCTGAGTGGATAGCACTCTCGGCTCTCAGCAAGAAGGTCCTGGGTTCGAATCCCGGTTGGACCAGGGCCTTTCTGAGTGGAGTTTGCATTTTCCCCCCGTGTCTGCGTAGGTTTCCTCCGGGTGCTCCGGTTTCCCCTACCACTAAAAATATGTACAATAGTTCTGGCATGTGCCTCCTGTACTGGCACCCCCACTCCCAAAAAAAATAACAATTGTAAACCGCTTTGAGACTCCGATGTGCAGTGAAAAGGCGGTATATAAATAAAGATTACTTACTTACTTACTTGACTACTTTTAGGGTTTAGGGACGTTTTCCCACAACATTAAAAAAAAAATGCGTCTGGAAAAAATCACTGACTGCATCTTTAAACCATACAGAGACAGCAGCAAAGAGGTTTTATGACTCATATAGCCCTGTAATTACTGCAAAACTAAATTTCTTGGGGCCCAGTTAGGGTTTATGGATAGCTTGGAGATGCTGTGACACCATGTTATGTGGACAATATAAATGTTTTTGTTCCTGGCCTTGCATGTTTTTTCCCCTTTTTCCATTGGTTCCACTGTCTTACATATATTAAGCTATTTATTAATACTTACGTAGAATATGATCATTTTATTTATTTATTTATTTATTTTTTGGTTGGGACAGTACATGTTAATGAACATATCACTCCGGATTGTAGCCATGGGCTACATTGCATCCATTGTCCCACATTCGCACTCACAAACACACACTCATTCACCCTGAACTATTGCACATGTTTTTAGTGGTAGGGGAAACCGCCCCATTAATTCATTATCACTGAAAAAACAAAGGGTAAGGAGTGCTGCGTGGTACAAGCGTGTAAAGTAGACCAGGTGCTCAATTGGAAGATGGGTTTAACTTAGTAACAAAACATTTTGTTTTGACTTTCCAGGTAAAGGCAAATTACAAAGATCTTAGGAAAAAAATAAAATAATCCAAGGCACTCATGGTCAATAGTTTAGAGAGTTTAAAAAACCTTTATTTTCTTATGGCTGTAATTTAAAATATGCACCAACGCGTTTCAGCCTAGCTTGGCCTTCTTCAGGATTTTTTGGATTTTCTAAGATCTTCATAATTTGCCTTTACCTGGAAAGTCAAAACTTAATTTTCTTGTTACTAATTCATTATCACTGGTTCTGCGGGAACAGACTCAAAAGAGTTTTAATCAAACAATCAATTTCAGTTATCTTGGCATCACTTATAATAATCGTCCATTTCCAAGTAGTTTTTATATACTAGACCACCAACAGCTATATAGAGGGGACATATATGTGTATGTCCCATTTCATGGAAATGCCGTTCCCTCTTTCCCTGGGGGGACACCATTGTCTTGAGGTCCCCCTCCATGTAGGACACTTCTGTCCTGACTGACCCCCCTTGATCAATCGCAGGTGACCTTACATGTGATGTCATCCTATATATGAGCTAGAAGGCCTTCTTGAGATCTTTCTGTCTTGTGATCTGACCTGGCCCTGGGCAGAGGCCTACTTGGGCCTCCCTTCTCTCCCTCAATCCAATCCAACATCTTTTGGTTGATTATCTTTTTGTTCATATTTGTCATTAAATGTCTTTCTTATACAGATAGATGAATAGATAGATAGTTACTTTATTGATCCCCGCAGGAGAAATTCAGGTGTTCAGCAGTAGACAACTCTTACAGGTCTGTTGTACAGTCTGACAGCCGAAGGAACAAAGGATCTCTTCGAACGTTCCGCTCGGCAGCGCAGTGATATAAGCCTATTTCTACATTACTCCTCCATGTGTCATGCAGAGGGTGTCTGGATGCCCTGCATTAGAGCCCTCATCCTTCTCTCCAGCACAGCTCCCACAGAGTCCACACTTCTCCCATCACAGAAACACATATCCTGATCAGCCTGTTGGCTAGACATGTTGGGGCGGCAGTCTGACCTCAAGAGACAGTAACAGGCTCTCGAGGTAAAACTGCCAACATGCGACCCCAAACATGGCACTAGCTACAACAGACGAGCTACAACATGCAAACTCCACTCAGAAAGGCCATATTCCGACTGGGATTTGAACCCAGGAGAAGTGAGAGTGCTATCCACTCATCCACCGTGCCACCGCCATGTGTCCCTGAGGTCTAGGAGACGCCCCTCCCCCTCAGCACAAAATCAAGTGTGGTATCCAGGAGACACCACACACAGCCTCCTGATTGGCTGAATAGTGCTGGCGGGGTGGGGCATGTTTGTGTATACATTTGTAAGCCTGGAGCTGCACTCTCAGAAACTTCTCTGGGCTCTGGCTTTGTGACTGTAAGAGTGTCCTGTTTAAATTAATGACATAATAAATACACAGGCTGAAAGACAAGAATGGTGACCCAAAGTACTTCACAATTTGAAGTATCATTATTTTTCCATTCCACACATGTGATGATGCTATCCATTTACTTACCCGTTCACTATATTTCGACCTATATATATATATATGTATCGTACACACACACACACATATATATATATATATATATATATATATACAATATATATATATATTAGTATATATATTGTATATATATATGCAAGAAGGAGCGCTACTGGAGGGTCTTTATCCCCACTTCTGTCAGACTGTACAATAAGTCACTTTAAGTCACTAATGCACTAGGACTGAAAAAACCCTGCACTGATATTGCCGCTCTTTCTTTTATTACCATAATTATAAACTGCACAGACTATATTTTATAACCTTTAACATGTTTGCACACTTCTGTCTTTTGCACAATCTGAGTGATTCTATACCTGCCAAATGTGACATGTACATTTCCCCAGGGTGAGATCAATAAAGTCTATCTTCTCTTACCTTATCTTATAGCACCAGAGCTATATATATATATATATATATATATATATATATAAATTACTCTGAATACATACTATTGAACAAATGTATTGAAAATGCAGACAGTCTAAACAGAGAAATTAAATGTATGTGGCTCTGAGTGTGGCCACCTCAGTGCAGCCCCGAACACGCAGCTCCAACTGTGCAGCATGACTTTCCTCAATGAAAGAGGGGATGCAGGGGAGGCAGGGAAGGAAGAGGAGAGCTGTGGAGGGAGCAGACGTACACAGCACCCCACAATCCGCTGACTACAATCGGGACTACAATTGCAGTAGGCATCCCAATGGTGGATCGTGAAGCCTTTTGAGCCAAAGGAAACAAGTCAGTAGAGCTCATTAGCCGATATTCAGCCAGGCCTGCTACTTTTACATCCATCGGCTGCCTTAGAAGAGGACAAGGGAGGTGTCATCTACGCGACGCATTATTGCCAGCGTTTGCCCAAGAAAATCTGAAGAAATGTGTGTGGATTGACTCTGCATTTGCTGAATTGTTCCCATCTATGGAAAAGCGTGTGGATGGACTGGGGATGTGCTCATTTATCAACTACTAGAGTAACAGCGGTGCAGATGGAGGGCTAGCCGACATCTCTGAGCCATTGTAAACAGTTGAGGTTGCGGTCAGCGCATCTACAAGGGAGGTGGCTGCATTTTCAGAGCGGTGGAAGACGTAGCAGAAGGAGGAGGCCTGCAAAACAGTGACTCCAATAGATTATGGATGGATGCTGAGGGGTATATTTCATACTTGAATTAATAAGTGGCATATGGAATAGGGCATGCTCATGATAGGGAACCACGCAAGGTAAGGCAAGCCAATTTAGCATAATTTAAGGCATTTTAGTTATAATAATATGTCATTATGACAGTCATGCAAATGCAAATAAGTCAACCCGTTATGTTGTTAATTTGTTAAAAACATATAAAAGCATATTCAAAAATTGACCATACCATTAGTTATTTAAAACTGAAGTCTTTAACTTGGATTTGAAAATTCCTGACCCACATTAATTGGAGGAATGCTGCTCTAGATCCTTCCAAGCAGATTGAAACTTGATTTGATTTCATAAAGACCACAAACATTCTAAGACTGTTCTGGTCAGATACTATAGTTTACAGTCAATTTTACATTTGATTTTCAAATATATATAAATATATATATACACTTTTACAAACCAACAAATAGAGGAGGGAAAAATAGACTACGCAAGAATAAAAGCAGATAAACCAGAACACACCAGGGCTTCAAAGTGGCAGGAGAGGTGGAGGAGCGTGGGAGGAGCGCGGCCGTGGACGATAGCGCTGCGGTGTGGTGCGAGGGGCTGCGCGAGCGGAGAGAGCGTGCGGGTGACAGCGGTGGGCCGGACAGCAGCGAGCGGGACGGCCTGATGACGCGTGGGGGAGGGGCCGGGCGCTGGGGCCGCCACAGACTGGGCATGTTCAACATGTTGCTGCGCTGCAACATGCCCCCCGACACCCAGAAGGTGGTGGTCTTTGTCATCATGATGCTCCTCATCATCATCAACGTGGTGCTCATGTTCCTGCTGGCCTTTCAGTAGTGCAGGAGGATCAATTAACCTATGCCACAAACCAAACAGTTTCTTGTGAAGCAACAAAAGTGAAGTGCCTAATGTGGGTACCGCAGGATACAAAGAGGTGATTGAACTCCCGGACTTCCGTACTTTTCTTAACTCTTCTGGACATTGTAAGCATTTCAAATGATAAAAACAAAGCAACATTGTTTTTAAACATAAAGGAAGTTTCTTGACACATTGCCTTCACTGGACAGAGCAAACATGTAGGAAAGTTAAAGCTTTGGCAATGCATGCCCATGGACACAACAACAACAGTGTGCATTTCTAATAGAAAGTTCAATTCCACCATAGCTTCCCGCTGATAGGTGTGATGTTTCTTGCCCATGAACCCAAGAACAGCACAGTGAAACTAGTAGAGGTGATGGAACTGCTTGTGTTATCAAGGCAAATGAAGTGCCTTGCCACTGACACAACAGTTGGATGCATAGAAGAGCTTGAACTACCAGCCTTTAGTGCTTAACCTACCTCCACTGGACACTACTAAACAAAAAAATACATTGTTTTGCCTATGAAGTATGCACAGAGGTAATGGAACTACCAACCTCAAGATTTAAATGGCTCCTTTTGTTTTTATGTGAAAGAACATATGCCTTTGTATGCTGACATTGGCCTGGGGAAGTTTCTTACCAATGGACTCAGCAGTATATTTTGTCAGTCGTGGATCATTCTGGTGAGTGGGCAAATGCCTCTTACCCACTGTGCCGCTGTAGCTCCAGTATGTTTACAGGATCATAGGGCTAAGGAAGCCCAGAACGATGCTTCTCAACATGGGGCGCACGAGACACGACGTTGGAAGAGCTTAAATGATATCATAATAATATTGTAAAAGCTTTTCGATGTATTTTTCCTACTAGTTAAAGGTATTTAGAGAGATGTTTGTACCATGCGGAAAAAAGTAAACTTTCGGAGAGGCGACACTTCTGGCAAAGTCCTCCTAAATACCTTTAACAATTTGTGAAACGATGATAAATATCAGAATAAAGAACTCATTATAATGGATTTAGCACTTCAATTTATTCAGAGGTTGGGAGAGCATAGTTCTTGCATTTTGGGTTGCATATGTCTGAAAGGTCTAAAAAAACAAGTGTGCAAATTGCCTTATAACAAAAATAATTGTTTTATTCACATATGTAATATTGTGAAATCCTAAAACAAGTGAGTGCGTTGCCAAGGGCAGTGGTCATTATTGTTTTGAGAGGTCTGTTATCAAGAAATAATGACCGGTACAACGTTTTGAAATTACATTCAAATCAATGGAGCGTTCTACTGCTGCTGTGAGGAGCTGCGATATATATATATATATATATATATATATATATATATATATATATATATATATATATATATATATATATATATATATATATATATATATATATATATATATATATATATATATATATATTATACACAAGTATATAATATACATATTATGTATATATTATATGTTTATATGTTATTTATATATATATATATGTAAGGGATAATGTATAGCCTACAGGTCATTATCGGAAAATAAGTACCGACAGGGCGAAGCGGACCCCGACGCGCAGCGGAGGAGTCTGCTTCCGCCCTGAAGGTACTTATTTTCCGATAATGACCTGTAGGCTATACATTATCCCGCTTATTATACTGCTTTGTACCAACTTAACACACAAAATAAACTTCAGATCACTTTTATGAATGCCAAAAGTTTATTTAATGACAACAAATAAAGTAGTCCCAAAAAGTTTTCCTGTTGCTCGGCAACCGCGGGCAACAGTTAGGCTGGCAACTTCCAAACTAGAACTCTCTGGAACTGCATGAAAACTGAACAAAGAATTCTGAACATCAGCAGTGAGTGACCCATACATAAACCTAACCTAAATCCATAATTCGATCCTCTGCAAATGTGTCCGAAAATGTGCCGGTATCTTAAAATGTGCCGGTATCTACTTCCGGGTTTTTCGGGATCGCCTTTTCTCGCATTACATCAGTGTTTTTGTCATGAAAACGTAAACGGAAAATTCTGAAAACTTCCGTGCACTTGTATTAAGACTGGATATGTATAAATTACTCTCCGATTAACATTTCATTGCGTTGATTGATTGGCATTTGCGTTTATTGAGCGGCCAGAACTACTTCCGGGTTTTTCACGATCGCTTTTTGACGCAGAGAAATAGTATTTTTGTCATGAAGACAAGACCAGAAAATTCTGAAAATTTCCGTGCACGTGTGTGAAGAATGTATATGTATAAGTATTCTCCGATTAACATTTAAGTGTGTTGATTGAGCGTGGCTAGCTCCGGAGTGGCCGGAACTACTTGCGGAGTTATCCACGCATTTGAAAGACAAGCAGAGAGTGCGTTGCCATGGGCAGCGGTCATTATTGTTTTGAGAGGTCCGTTATAGAAAATAATGACCGGTAGAACGTTTTTAAATTACATTCAAATCAATGGAGCATTCTACTGCTGCTGTGAGGAGCCGTATAATAAATATATATAAATAACATATAACATATAGGAATACGGCAATAACTCCCTCTGTTCTCACCCTCATTCTCACAGTGTGGTGCTATTGCAATAACACTTCAGACATTCAAGAATCAGTCTTTATTTAATCGCCAAAACACACCAACACAAACTTGTATCCTGCCTGTCTCCGGTCGCTCTGCTCGTACGCCACACTTTTCATACTTTCATTCTCATTCATTCATTTTTCAGCACTCTTACGCTCGTTACTAAAGAGTGTGTGTGTGTGTGTGTGTGTGTGTGTGCACTCGAGTCCGTGGCACGCACACACACACACACACACACATGTACACACGTGTTACCCACTGAACTGCTGCACTTTGCATCAGAGCAATGTGAACAAGTGTGAGATTTGTCTTTCCCTAAACAACGCGATCCGGACTACTGTAGCAGAATGGAAACAGGAAAAGAAATGGAAACTTAAGTTGGACAACGAGGTCGTCGCTGAAGTTAGTTTAAGCGCCACCAGCTGGACCGAGAGTTGTACTACAGCACAGTTTGCAAATACACGTTCATGTGACCGCTGGCCGTTTTCACACCCCGGTGGCGACGATCTGGGCCACTTGGCCTAGTTTGTTTGTAAAAACTGTGACCGTGCCCGTAGTTAGATTATTAATAAGGCAATGTAGAATAAGGACTTCATAAATACCAATTTAGAGAGAATTAACCATAAATTATACACTAATTAACACTTAATTCAATAATGAGGGATAAACTTATGTGTGACTGTTTTTTTATTTCATTTCTAAGAACACAGTCAATAAAATGTCTGTATAGTGAACACAGTACACAATCCTAATGGATTTCAGCAGGTGATTAAAGGCTGTAAGTAAGATTTGGAACAATTTCTACACTTCAATTGACACAGGAAATGACTGGATCTGTTCATCATTCCAACTCATATAGCAACATGTGTCCTCAAAGTAATGTTTTATCTATTCTCCTAGCTCATTAAATGTATTTTGTTTACCTTTTTCTATTGAGGAATCATCAATAACAATCCTGAAAAAGCCTAATTTTTGTCTTTTAAGATTTAGTAATCTTATTAAACCAAAGCGCATCCTATAACTTTTTGCGACCCCCGGGTGACGAAGAAGCTGAGCTGAAGACATGAGACTCCACTGAAGTTTCAGTGAAGTGATACTGAGCAGGTGAGGCTGATTGCTGTTGAGCTCAGCGTAGGTGTTTAGAGGGAGGACATCAGTGTGGCAGCATGACATTTCTTTGGTCTTCCATTCCGAATTTGTGCTTAAGCTTAATTTCTGTGCACGAGACGTACACAGGGGATTGAGGTGATCGATCTGCAGCCACTCACTGGTGTTTGTGTTGCCCTGTAGCTGATCAGCGATGGCAGTGTGGTGTTCGCCGAGGCCCTGTGGGATCATGTGACCATGGACGATCAGGAGCTGGGCTTTAAGGCGGGCGATGTCATTGAGGTGGTGGACGCCACAAACAAGGAGTGGTGGTGGGGGCGCATCCAGGACAGTGAGGGCTGGTTCCCTGCCAGCTTTGTGCGGGTAAGCAGGAACACAAGTCTGTAGTATCAGGGAAGAGAAAAAGTCAGATTTGAAGATATTTGATATTTCTATTTTTACTAAACACCTCTCTGTGCCCTATCATGTTCAGTTACGAGTGAACCAGGACGAGTCCATGGATGAGTTCCTGTTCCAGCTGGGGGAGGGGGACATGGGCCAAGACCACTCCTCCCAGCTCAGCCTGTGTCTGGGGCCCAGTCTGCCCTGCAAAGAACAGATGAGGTCCAACGTCATCAACGAGATCTTGAGCACAGAGCGAGACTACATCAAACACCTCAAGGACATCTGCGAGGTACAGTACAAGCACCCCATCTCAATGACACCATGACATCGTTCCTTTCCAATTATTTACTTAAAATACTATTTGGAAGCCTTGCATAGGCCTATTCCCTAACCCTTAAAGGGGCAGAAATCATTGCGTACCAGATAGAAGCACAGCCTGTCATTCTAATATGTCCCTTACAAACACCATTTATCAAAATAAAGACTTGTGTGGTCAAAAGCGTCACACACCGATTCAGATCAACGGAAGAGGATTTTGGTCAGATGTTTTAAGAAAAGGCTTCTGTCTGTTTGTTATGTTAAGGAAACAAATGTAAAAGTAAGTAAGTTTATAGATTTCCCCTCACAGAGATTGACTAACAAGGCGTGTTGAAGGTGAGTGTTGAAGGCAATAGCTACACTAAACTGTATTAAGAGTTATTTTTTTTGTTAGTCGGTAAAATAGCATTAGGCCAGACGAGGTCTTCATATGACTGATGAAGACTAAAATTTTGAAAATAATACAGTTATGAGTCAAAAGTGTGGGTTATGGTTAGATATGGAAACGATTCTGTGAGTTATATACAATTCATTACAAAATTGTTTGATGAATAATTTATATGCATATTGAAGATGATTTCAAGCTTCAGAATTGAAATTAAAGAATCACAGAATTCTGGCTAAAATACAATTAAATAGTTTTGAGCGTCCTATTTTTAAGACTAAAGTTAGAAGTTAAAGCGAATCTTCCAGATCTTGTTATGACAACAAAAACTATTCTTATGGACTATAAGGCCTTTACTACACCCTAAGGAGTATATTTAGTCATACCTATTTCATATTTCAAGTTTAAAGTTTCAGTAATTAACAAAAGAAATCAGTTTTCATGAAATAGCCATTCAAAACAAAAGCTTTGTTTGTGATGGAGTAAGCATTTAAAAATCAAAAATAAAACATCATAATTGGTTGATCTTTATGTGCGCATGTGCTGGGCACTAGTGGCCTCAGATTATTGCCTCTCGGGTTGGATCATAGCCGTTTTATATGGTGTGAGGGTTGAAAGTGCGTTTGCTTGTACATCCCTCACAGGTCTTTGTGTCTTCTCAGGGCTACATAAAGCAGTGCCGTAAGCGCACAGACATGTTCTCTGAGGAGCAGCTCAGGACCATTTTTGGGAACATCGAGGAGATCTACCGCTTCCAGAGGCACTTCCTCAAAGCCCTGGAGAAGATGTTCAATAAAGATCAGCCCCATGCCAGTGAGCTGGGAGCCTGCTTCCTCCAGCACGTAAGTCTTAATGTAAACTGCTTTAATGCCCCTTACACACTGCTTGGCTGATGTGTTGACCTCTATTGTTCTCCACAGCAAACAGAGTTCCAGATCTACTCAGAATACTGTAACAACCACCCAAATGCATGCCTGCAGCTGTCCCACCTCATGAAGCTCAACAAGTATGTGTTCTTCTTCGAGGCTTGCCGTCTGTTGCAGCGCATGATTGACATCTCTCTAGATGGCTTCCTGCTCACTCCGGTCCAAAAGATCTGCAAGTACCCTCTGCAGCTGGGGGAGCTGCTCAAGTACACCAACCCTCAGCACAAGTACGCACGCACGCATGCACACACACACACGTTTGTGTTACCTGGTGGGTCCCTAAGAAAGTGCTGTTCCATATGGGACCCACAGACATGGTTTTAACCCCTAAAATCTTTCTGTATTTTTGCCAATACTGGGGTCACTGCAGAATTACTATGCACTGATCTTTTTTACTGGGACTACTTTAAGCAATACAAACCATTAAAAAACAGTCAATACAAAACAGACAAATCTTTTACATTAGGACATTTTATCATCCTTTTTTTGAAATGCAGTGATTCTATTTTTTACATAGAATTTAATGCCACTCCATGTCCGATGTCTAAGGTCATCTGGCGAGGCTTTAATGAAGTTTGTTTTAGCCAGTCCGTTTCTGAGAGAATCTCTACTGCTCTCCCTGAAGCACAAAAAATAAACACAAGTGTCATTTAGGAGAAAATAATAAAAATTATTCATATTTTAATAATATCAAGAATTACCTTCAGGCTCAATTTGTATCCGGTCGAGGCTCTTTCCTTTGAATTCCGTCACTCTTCCCTGCTCCATGGCCATTAATGCTTTGCTGATTTTGGCCAGCTCCAGTCTGTAATATTGTCTGTGGATGCGAATGTCATGGCCGAGGAAGTTGGCAAGTATGTCCATTTCATTCTCTTTCATATTAAGAACTGTAGACATAGTAGCTATGTGCTTTCTAAGTCTGGTTGAGGATAGCATCTCTGGATGCAACGCACCACATTCTTTGGCCACCTGCCGTAGGGAGTCTGATCCCCCAATGTGAGTGGAAGGGGATAAGAAGTATGGGTTATGGTTAGAGATGGAACACGCACTTCTGTTCTCCACCAGCACCTCCTTCGAAGCAATCATTTCAGGAGTCAACCGAACCGGCACTTGCCGACTTAATTTCCCTTTAATTTCAATTTGATGAAAATGCTGACACAGCTTTCCAATTTCAGACAGTCCAAAAGAAAAGTCAAAATGGATCCCAGTTTTACTTCTTAAGGTAAACGCTGTCAGTGGCATCTTTGAAACCTCACCTTCCCTTCTTCGATTGAAAATAATGACCTCACAAAGAGTTAAAACTGCAAGTTTAGACCAGTGTTTAGGGGTTGGTTCATTCTTTAGGGTCTGCACATATTCAGGTTGACATACCTCGATATTTGCATGCATGGCTCTAACGTTCTTAGTCAGAGGGAGCAGGTCAGGAGTGTTTCACTTTGTTTGGCGGAGGGTCTGTAGGGCAGCAGAAGAAACACAGGCATCCCACCTCTTCTCAAATCAGCCGGCTTGGTTTGAGGTTTTTTATAAACAGTTCGGCAACACATTGCTACATTTTTGAGTCGCATTCAAGAATATCTGCTTTTTGAGGCTATGGCCGAGTTTGAGGGCCAAGGATGGAGTCTTGTATAGAATTGTTTCCTCATCATATCCAGCCACAGACCTGACTGCACATGGTTAAAGTTGGAAGGAATAAAGAAATCCTTAATTGTTTTCAGTTTCCCTGCTGTTTTTGCTTTGTTAATTAATGTCAGGAAATTGCACCAGGCACTAAGCGTGGTGACTGACAGATCATAGACCCAAAAACCAAATAACCTAGAGGCCTGAAACATTGTTTGAGCAGCGGAGCGGCAAAATGTGAAATTTTTTTGGCCGTTTTCGACAACATTAAATTTGCTCCCGTTTGCACAAACAAAGTTTGATTTGCACAAAACTTTAATACATTGTTCAACTCTAGGGTCTAGGTCATTTGAAAGTGAGTTGATTCAAATTGACACATTAGCGCCCCCTACAGACTATTTCAAAGTTTTAGATGGGCATTTTCAAATTTAGTTTTTTCAAAATGTTTGAAATTTTGCACATACATCTGTTTTGCCCTCTTGATTCAAAAAGTCAATAGGGTCCAAGGCTTATTTTTTACCCTGTTGCCGTGGCGACGACAAATGCGCCCCACTCATTGCAAATGTACACCTCACACAAACCTCAAACCAGCCTCGGCCGTTTCACCGATTCACCTCAAAATCACTCCACATCATCTCAACACATGTACCTTCAAAATGACTTCAGGGAATTTTGATCCGTAAAACGTTGTTTGAGCAGCGGAGCAGCAAAATGTGAGAATTTTTTTGACTCTTTTTGACAACATTAATTTTGCTCCTGTTTGCACAAACAAAGTCTGATTTGCACAAAACGTTAATCCATTGTTCAATTCCAGGGTTTAGGTCAGGTTAAAGTGAAATATTGGAAATTGGCCCATTAGCGCCCCCTACAGACTGTGTCAAAGTTTACATGGGGAGCCAAACCAGCTCTACTTATCATATTCATTACAATTTGACTAACATTCTTCTATGGCTACGGAAACAAATCATCACACGGCGGTGCCACCTCCTTTTAGCGGTGCTGCGTGGTACGGTGTGGTGCGGCGTAGTGCGGGGCGTTGTGGAGCGGCGCGTTGCGGCTTGGTGCGGGGTGGCGTGGTGCGGGACGGCATGGTGCAGGGCGGCATGGTGCAGGGCGGCTTGGTGCGGGGCGGCGTGGTGCGGGGAGTGCGCGCGGTGCAGGGAGTCGCGCGGTGCGGCGAGGGCCGTTCAACGCCGCTTGCGGCTTTAATTTCTTTCTTTCTTTCTTTCTTTTTTCTTCTGCACTTTGAGCCTTAATTTGACCCCCTGAATATGCATGAAAAGTTGTTAAATTTTGCCCAAAAATCAGACCTAGCGAAAAATTTGATATTTTGGTGTTTATTTTTATGGGACTCAAAAAATGCCAGAACAGCGCCACCTACAACAGCCAAAATAATACCCCTATGGGAGTTCTGAAGATCAAGTTTGTTGTAGAGTCATGAAATTCGGTACACGTGTTCCTCAAGTCAAGACAAGAAAAAAATATTATTATGGCCCCGCCCTGTGACAAACAGGAAGCCCATAAATTTCACTGCAAAATGGAAAAATGAACAGCAAAAGTTTTCATACATGTCGGTTGGAAAGCGACTCCTCCTCGGCCGTTTCACCGATTTGCCTCAAAATTGCTCCACATCATCTCAACACATGTACCTTCAAAATGACCTCAGGGATTTTTGATCAGTGCAACGTTATTCGAGCAGCGGAGCGGCAAAATGTGACCTTTTTTAGGCCGTTTTTGACAACATTAAATTTGCTCCCGTTTACACATACAAAGTCTGATTTACACAAAACTTTAATACATTGTTCAACTCTAGGGTCTAGGTCATTTGAAAGTGAAATGATTCAAATTGACACATTAGCGCCCCCTACAGACTATTTCAAAGTTTTAGATGGGCATTTTCAAATTTAGTTTTTTCAAAATGTTTGAAATTTTGCACATAAATCTGTTTTGCCCTCTTGATTCAAAAAGTCAATTGGGTCCAAGGCTTATTTTTTACCCTGTTGCCGTGGCGACGACAAACGCTCCCCATTCATTGCAAATGTACACCTCACACAAACATAAAACCAGCCTCGGCTGTTTCACCGATTCTCAAAATCGCTCCACATCATCTCAACACATGTACCTTCAAAATGACTTAAGGGAATTTTGATCCGTGAAACGTTGTTTGAGCAGCGGAGCAGCAAAATGTGAGGTTTTTTTTGGCTCTTTTTGACAACATTAATTTTGCTCCTGTTTGCACAAACAAAGTCTAATTTGCACAAAACTTTAATCCATTGTTCAACTCCAGGGTTTAGGTCAGGTTAAAGTGAAATATTGGAAATTGGCCCATTAGCGCCCCCTACAGGCTCTGTCAAAGTTTACATTGGGAGCCAAACCAGCTCTACTTATCATATTCATTACGATTTGACTAACATGCTTCTATAGCTACGGGAACAAATCATCACACGGCGGTGCCACCTCCTTTGAGCAGTGCTGCGTGGTACGGTGTGGTGCGGCGTAGTGCGGGGCGTTGTGGAGCGGCGCGTTGCGGCTTGGTGCGGGGCGGCGTGGTGCGGGACGGCATGGTGCAGGGCGGCTTGGTGCGCGGCGGCGTGGTGCGGGGAGTGCGCGCGGTGCAGGGGTCGCGCGGTGCGGCGAGGGCCAATCGACGCCGCTTGCGGCTTTAATTTATTTCTTTCTTTCTTTCTTTCTTTCTTTCTTTTTTCTTCTGCACTTTGAGCTTTAATTTGACCTCCTGAACATGCATGAAAAGTTGTTAATTTTGGCCCAAAAATCAGACCTGGCGAAAAATTTGATATTTTGGTGTTTATTTTTATGGGACTCAAAAAATGACAGAACAGCGCCACCTACAACAGCCAAAATAATACCCCTATGGGACTTTTCGGAGGTCAAAATTGTCGTAGAGTCATGAAATTCGGTACACGTGTTCCTCAAGTCAAGACAAGAAAAAAATATTATTATGGCCCCGCCCTGTGACAAACAGGAAGCCCATAAATTTCACTGCAAAATGGAAAAATGAACAGAAAAAGTTTTCATACATGTCGGTTGGAAAGCGACTCCTCCTCGGCCGTTTCACCGATTCGCCTCAAAATTGCTCCACATCATCTCAACACATGTACCTTCAAAATGACCTCAGGGATTTTTGATCAGTGCAACGTTATTCGAGCAGCGGAGCGGCAAAATGTGACCTTTTTTAGGCCGTTTTTGACAACATTAAATTTGCTCCCGTTTACACATACAAAGTCTGATTTACACAAAACTTTAATACATTGTTCAACTCTAGGGTCTAGGTCATTTGAAAGTGAAATGATTCAAATTGACACATTAGCGCCCCCTACAGACTATTTCAAAGTTTTAGATGGGCATTTTCAAATTTAGTTTTTTCAAAATGTTTGAAATTTTGCACATAAATCTGTTTTGCCCTCTTGATTCAAAAAGTCAATTGGGTCCAAGGCTTATTTTTTACCCTGTTGCCGTGGCGACAACAAACGCTCCCCATTCATTGCAAATGTACACCTCACACAAACATCAAACCAGCCTCGGCTGTTTCACCGATTCGCCTCAAAATCGCTCCACATCATCTCAACACATGTACCTTCAAAATGACTTA